ATCCAAATTTTAACCTTTTATTTATTATTTTATTTCTAGAGTTTTACTTTTGCCTACCCTAAAATATTCGTTAGCTTGGAGAAGAAGCCGTATGATGAAATACCAAAATCTCGTTAAGTCATTTTCGGCTGTTTTGCTTGACGATTCAATTCATCTGGAACAAACAGACATAAAGCAGAAAAGGACTACCGAGGTAAAATAAAAGTCAACTCATACTCTTCTCCTGATACTAGGTACACTATAATAGTTTACAGCCATTGTATGTATGAAGGCAATTTTAATAGTTCAATAACTACTGTTTAATAGTTCCACTAAGATAGCCAGTAGTGTTTTGGTTTAACAGTACTGATTTTACAGTAGAAAAATCTACTACAGTAGACTTCCTCTTATCCAGACTCCTCTGGACCGAGGCCATTTCGGATAATGGTTTTTCCAGTTAAACCGACGTCCCCAGAAACCCATTAAAATGGACCGTTTAAATGCATACTGTATACAGTATTTTGACTTGGAGAGCATTGTATTTAGACACGTGATCACTGGTCTCAAATCTTTTCCAAGAGAACAGTTGTTTCAGTACCGCCCACTACCTGCCAATCTAGTCCGGTTAAACTGATGTGCTGATAGAAATTGTCCGGTTAACGAGATGTCATTTCCGCCGAGTGTAGTCCGGTTAAACCGATGTCCGGTTAAAAGGTGTCCGTATAAGAGGGAGTCTACTGTACTGTACTGTTATACGTAAGCAATGGATTTAATAAAAAAAACAAAAAAAACAATAGAAACAATAAAGAAAAAAAACAACAGATGGGGGAGGGGTTGGGCAATTACCTCAAAAGGAGCACGGGCCACAGTGAGTCGAGTAGGGCGATGGGAAGGGGTAGGTGTGACCTAGAGGCTATATGACTTACACCACTTCCCTAAAGGGCTGGCGAGGGGGATTCCAATCGCAGGACGATGAGACAAAGTAGTTTTTCGGGAATTCTCTGCCAGGTTTGACTTTCGACTCTCTTTTTTTGTGAAAAAACTTTTAATAAAAAATTCTAACTTAACAAAGTTAGATCGATATCATCTTTATTCATACATCTAAGGGACTGTGTTTCTATTGAGACACTTAAAGTAGTTTATCATGCTTATGTGGAGTCAGTGTTAAGATATGGCATAATTTTATGGGGTCAAGCTACTGGTATTAAAACTTTATTCAGGTTACAAAAACGTATTATTCGCATTATCACCAACTCTCATCCACGCAGTTCTTGTAAGGAACATTTTCAAAATTTAAGAATTCAGACACTAACGGGGTTGTATATTCTAGAATTATTAAATTACATACATTCAGTTAAAAATGAGCTACAGACCGTTTCACCGTGCTTGGCGTGTAGGGGAGGCAGTGCGAGAGAGACAGAAAAATACAAAAACGTAAACATAAAGCAAATTAATTTGACAAAGCTGATGCTAGTTCACAACTTAAGTATTTGAACGTGACTGTGCCGTGCGTTGAGGCGTAGTGGGGGAAAGCTCTCAGTGCGCATGCTCCAGCGAGGCGCCACGCACCGTGACACTATCTGTACCAGAAACAATACATTTTAATCACAGGTATGAAACCCAAAATGAAAATATATTTAGACTCCCCCAGACACCGTTTGACCCTATATGAAAAATCTCCATTGTATGCTGGGCTAAGATTGTACAATGTGCTTCCGCCATGCTACAAGTCATTAAGCAAAACCAAATTTAAAGATACACTAGACAATTTACTTATTGACAAGGCTTTTTATTTAATTGAAGATTTTTACAGAACAACAATTTAGAATTTTATTTTATTTTAAGTGTTTGGTTTTAAGTTAAAAGTTATAATGTTAAATATTTTATGTATGGATTTAATTTTGACAATGCACCTATTCTTAATGTTATGACATGTATGGAATGTTTTTTGCAAATAAAGTATGTCTATGTCTATGTCTATGTCTAATGATCAAAACAGGGTGTATATCAACCGGGAAAACCGGAAGAACCGGGAAAAACCCTTGAATTTAAAGAGACCCGGAAAAAAGCCGGGATTTTCGGAGCGATTCTGGGATTTTTTTTAGCGCCGGTAAAACGCACATTTTCCCCGTTCGCGGAAAACTATATTGACGTTTCCGTGACCCCGGGAGACGACGATGGCGTCTACACTAACGCGGGAAATATTGATGATTTTCATAACTTTGCCGCGATTGCGGACGACCGACGATGTTGTTTCCGTGACCGCGGGAGATGACGATGACGTCTACACTGCCGCGGGAAATATTGATGATTTTGCTGAAATCGCGGACGACGACGATGATGTTTCCGTGACCGCGGGAGATGACGATGATGTCTACGCTGCCGCGGACGACGACAATGATTAGGTCCACACCGCCGCTGCGAGTATTCATAACTTTGCTGCGATTGCGGACGACGATGATGTTGTTTTCGTGACCGCAGGAGACGACGATGATGTCTACACCATCGCGGGAAATATTGATGATTTTGCCGCGATCGTGGACAACGACGATGTTTCCGTGACCGCGGGAGACGTCGATGACGTCTACACTACCGCGGAAGGTTTTCTTGATTTAGCCGCAACCGCGGACAAGGACTTCGATGATGTCTACACCGCCGCGGCGAATATTTATAACTTTGCCGCGATTGCGGATGACCGTCAATGTTGTTTCCGTAAACGCGGGAGACGACGATGACGTCTACACTGCCGCGGGAAATATTGATGATTTTGACGACGACGATGATGTTTCCGTGTCCGCTGGAGACAACGATGATGTCCAGACTGCCGCGGAAGATTTTCGTGATTTTGCAGCTAGCGCAGACGACCTCTATGATGATGTCTACACATCTGCGGGAAATATTCATAACTTAGCCGCGATTGCGGACGAAGAAGGTGACGTTTCCGTGACCGCGGAAGACGACGATGACGTCAACACTGCCGTGAAAGATTTTTGTGATTTTCGTGTCAATGATGATGTCTACATGACCGTGAAGATTTTCGTGGTTTGCTGCGATCGCGAATGTCAATGATGATATTTCCGTGACCGCGTAAGACGATGATAATGTCTTAAGGAGATGTATAGGATTTTGCCACGATTTTGAAAGTCAGTGATGACGTTTGTCGTCACCATGGAAGGAGAACACACAACCGTGGCAGATATTGAGTATTTTTACATAATGATAATGTTTTCATGAACAATAAACATAATATTTAGGATTTCACTGCTATCGAGAGAGATGATGTTTTCCTAGCCCTGAGGAATTGTGATAATGAAGATGATTACTTTACAACTATTAGAAATATACTAATGGGATGTATATAGATGTATACTATTAAGCTATAAGTCTCAAATTGGTTATAGTTTAAGTGGAACTAAACATGCACGAGGGAATTGATGTAATGTTCTCGTGGGACACATTCACGCGGGAACCTGGAAAAACTTTGTAAAACCAGGAAAAACCTGGGAAAAACCTGGAATTTCACTTTCAAAAAAAAGTATACACCCTGAAAAATATCACTTTAATTAACCACGATTATTTATCATTAATTGTATTATGAAATGTGAAGGACCATTGGAAATATTATGTTAAAGACAATATTTTGAATTAAAGAAGTTCTAGTAGGGCTATATTAGCCCTTAAAATTCCCAATGTGCCTAGTTACTAATGTTGGTTTTGAATTATTCAACCTTCCTGGTCACAGTGTCATCTTGAACATTTCCCGCGATCACGGAACCATCGTCAACACGTCCAAAGCTCGCGGCGCGATTCTCAACTCATCCCGCGGTCACAGCACCAGCATGAACGTAGTTTTTGTCATTTCCCGTGTTATCCGGCCGGTTTAGGTAGGATAATAGAAATTCTACGGTAACTATGATGAACTTACATGGTGTCCACCGACCGGGAAAACTGGGAATTATGTGTGATTTTTTTGAACCGGGTATTTTCAATTTGCCGCAATCGCGCATGAAGATGGCGTTTCCCTGACCGCGGGAGACAACGATGACGTTTCCGTGACCGTGGGGGACAATGATGATGTTTCAGTGATCACGGGTGAAGACGATGACGTTTCTGTAACCGCGGGAAACGACGATGACGTTTCTGAGGTCGCAGGTTAAAACGATGACGTTTCCGTGACCACGGGAGACGACTATGACGTTCTCTGCATGAGGTTCTTTTAGGCATAAATGATAAAATCCTTATAAATTTCTTCTGAATTTTGAAAACTGCTTTAGAATAAGAAGTTGCTCCTCATAATTCAATCCCCTATTGCAAGACAGAAAAGAACAGTGCATAGTACACTGTGAGTTAAGTTTTTAAATCTATTACATTTCTCAAAACATACATTTGAAAGCAAGCCGTATTTAATTTACCAACTACCTACCATTTTTATGTGTGTGATGACGGTTTCCAAACTGTGGGAGACGATGATGATATCAAAACGGCGGTGGGATGTGTTATTGATTTTGCCGCGATCGCGCATGCGGACGATGACCAATTCCGTGACGGTGGGAGATGATGATGACATTTCCGAGACCGCGGGAGACGACGATGACGTTTCCGTGTCTGTCCATTACTGCGGGTGACGGCGATGATGTTTCCGTGACTGCGGGAGACAACGATGATGTACAAACGGCTGCGGGATATGTTAGTGATTTTGCCACGATCGCGCATGCGGACGATGACGTTTCCGTGACCGTGGGAAACGATGATGATATATAAAAAATTATTGCTTGACGATGATGACCGCGGGAAATTATTAGAATTAAGCTGGGATCGAGGAAGATGATGATAACTAAAATAGCGAGCTGTGTTAGTGTTAAAACATTATTTCGACAGTTGGCGCAAAAACGCGTTGGAAAGTTTTGTATAAAAAGTACGACCTGAACTACCTGGTATTACTCATGATTTTTTTCTGGTTGGCCTGGTAGACACCCTGATTTACTTATTTTGATTGTTTAAGCATCATTTTGTACTTACAGATGGGTTCTTCTCAATGACTGCAAACATGTGATTGAAAGTGGCTCTTTGGAGCAATGGTTGAATACGGAACAGGATGGAAAGAAAGAGATAAAACATAAAACCTGTCCTCTGTGTAGACCAACAGAACCCAATCGGTTCATCATAACAACTCAAAGATATATGAACCTGGTCAAACAGACTTACAAGGATATTCAGATGGTGAAGAGGAAAATATTCGGAGAGATAAGCACCATTAGAGAAGATAGGGAGAAGCTGTTGAGAGATGTGAGGCAGATATCTCCCAAACTAATGGATGGATTCCAAGGTTTAAATAAAGGTATGGCCAAATTAAATCAAACTGTTAAGTTTATTTTATAATTTAATTTGTATGGAATTTTATATCCATAACACAAAAAACTGTACCTATATTTTTCCAGAAATTGTTTCTTTTTTACGCAAGCCTTGGGAAAATACCTTGGGATATTTAATCGAATGGGAATTTTGCAATATTGTTATATCTGTAAACAGTGTTGGAAAGTAGCAACAAGCAGCGACGCTACAGTAGCCTGTTCCTTTTTTTGTAGCGTTCTGCGTTAGCTGTAGTTGCACTACGTTTCAGATTTTGTAGCTTTTTTAAGTAGCTGTAAACTGAATTTTAGATACTCTCTTCGCTAATTTTATATTGATTGAGATGGTAATTTTTATAAAAATCTTACTTTTTTATTTGATATTTATTTTCTTGCCTCATTTTGTTCAACAGTCTAATGCGCTAGGAATAAAAGTAACATATTTGGAAAATTAGCTAAATTGTAGCTATACATATCATTTTGTAAACGTAGCTGTAGCTAGCTATTTTAAAATTAGCTTCCCCAACACTAGCTGTAAAAGTTTGCATGATTGTTGATGTCACTGTCGATGACACAATGTTGCCATAATCGTGGGTCAGATGTTTCACAGATCCCTATCCTCCGTTAAGACAAATAATGATAAACTTACAACTCTTATTAGTTATTAAGGATGTCGTAAACAAACATGTAAAACATTTATACACACCAAAGAAAAACAAATGTTGGTTTGATTACTGGATATTTATAATATTCTAGATTCAACTTTTTTTACATCTAATAGTTTGCAATGGCACATTTTTACTAGGCCAGCTGTTACTTTCCTAATACTAGGCTGCACAATGATTCAAAAACTAAAATGATTACTGAGAACAATGATTTTGATTTATCAAAACGTATGGGGTAAACATACAGCTACAAACAATATTTAAATTAAAACATTTTTCTATTACATCTAGACAACCTAGAAAATAGCTGGGAAGTCCGGCTTATGCAGTAGCAAATTAATTCATCAAAGCACATGTCTAGCAAACAGTTTTACTACTCTAGGCCCTACCTGAGATCAATACTCAAAAGTTAAGTAAACGCCCATCCATTTAATGAAAACTTTTTTCTGCCTAAGGCTTATGAATTAGCTTGTGGTTGGATTCAAATTTAATGGAATCAGAATACGTTTGCTATTCATGTTTGTCAGGTTTTAAATTATTTTTTGAAGTATGATAGTTAATAAGACTCAGCTTATTAAGGATCACAAGCTATGTTAGCACTAATACTTCTCCTGTGACCAGTGTGAGGTTCCCACTAAGTTCTACAATCATAAGACCCAAGCTCTTCTTTTAGGCATGTTAAGATATAATTACATAATATATATGACAACTCTATGAATAGATAGTCAAACATTATATATGTCTTCGCCTTTGGGTTATACTGTTACTGATATCATTGCAGTTTTTAACTTAAGACCAATAGTTAACATGTGCAGTAGAACTTGGTTTGCCAAGACAACGTTTTCCTGATATTGAGCAATATTTAATATTCCAGCTAAAATGTAAATTTCAAACCATAATCACAATTAAAAGTAGGTCTATGTTAAATTTATTGAGACAGAATTTTGTCAAGTCATTATCACTAATTTGAAGCAGATAGTCTTTTGTAAATCTCTATGAACGAGATATTCACTTATTACTGTGTTCCCAAAATCACTTGGCAAAACTCGTTGGTTAACATTGTTTAACTCTGTAACTTTTGATCAATTTGTAAGTCAAACAGACTGTTGGGTGTGCATTTCAAGCTGACTTTGAATGCAGGGTGAAAGCCCAATGATTAAGGAAGGACAGTTCCAGTTTCAAGCCATCAAAAAGCTACTGATAATCTCAGAATTGAACCAGTGACCTCTAGATTACGAGCCATTAAAACCTTATAAAATTTGGATGTTCAACTGTGCAAGGCTAGAAGGAAGAGGAGACCTCTCTCTCATACAGCCCCCCTACCATGGTTAACGAAAAAAGAGTTGTGTGGTGATACTGTTGATGTAATTTCAACAACAACAAAAAACAAATTATATTCTTCTACATCTTTAAGAGGGCTGAAGACTTCAAAAGAATCATTTTTTCCTTTTTACTTTTCTTATGTCAAGATGTCTCTGGTTACCGGAATTCCAACCTAAAGTGCCTTTTTTAATATGATAATACTGACTATAGTTAAGTGGTCAAAATATAGAGTTTAGTTTTTTCTATTATTTTGCAGGTGGTTTAAAGTTTTAACATAAATCATTTAGTTTTGGCTCTCTGTGCATGATTTTTACCACTGTCCACAAGTTTGTAATTTCCTAAGTTATGTACTTGGTCCCAAACATCAAATCTTACCAGAGTTTGCTATTCCGCTAGGCGTACACAGTGTTAAACAATTAGGCTTTAATAAGGGTTTTATGGTTTTCTCTGTTGTAGATAAAGACCAATTGAAAGTTATGAGAAGTATATTACTAGAAGAATTGCCATATATCAAAGGAAACCGCCGTAATGAAATTAGCGTTCATCGGGGCATCTTATTGAATTGTATGGCTACAGTCTACTTAGGCGTTCAGAAAAGAGTGTGTGACGACTGGGAAAAATTATCAGATTCATCTAAGGCCAAAGTGTTTGATAAAGTGAACTTTTTTATATCTGTTTTAATTCAGAGGAAGAAGAAAATTAGTAAGGAGGAAATTAACAGCTTTTTATCGGAATTGAAGAGACTCCACAGATTCTTTGACTTAAATCTAATCCATAGTTCTGACAGTTATTTTACTCTACAGAGTTTCCATCCAGACATAAAGTCTAAAGTTACCGATAACTACAACCGAATGAAGGAAGAAATCTTTTCCCCAAGAGTGTTCACTGATAAGATGAATGATAAAGTGGGTGACCTGTTGAAAGAGCTCTGCAGACTGCTGAACACCCATGTGACTGATGAGGAGCGAGTGATGGTACACAAGGCTATGTTTGGTTCAGTACACGGTACGTGGAGATGGTACAAGTGTGCAGGGTGTGGTGATGTCTATTGTGTGGGAAACTGTGGAGCTGTCAATCAGGTTACTCAGTGTAGGAAGTGTAACAGCACCATTGGGAGCTCAAGTCGAGTGCAGAATCCAGATATGGCCAGAGCCCTCCACCAGCGGCGATAAACATATCAACAGATACAATACAACTTGATTTGTTTCTATGCCTCTATTAAAGAGTGATAAGTATCAATTTAACCAGAAATCCGAATCCATCAACATGAGTTAAAAGTCTTCATCAGTGGTAGCCATATTTGATTTTAGTCCCATAAGAGCAATGTTAACTTTGTAAAGATTTTTTTTTTAAACTTGTGATACAATAATGATTGATATGTTAAAATTAAGGATTAGTGGTCCTTTAGGGAGTGAAGATTTTAGTTTTGCCATTTTCCCCCTACTTAATAAGTTAATGATCATTAATTAAGCCTTTAATTAAATAATTTAGAAAAGACAAAACAAATATTTGAAATATCATTTCTTCATTCCCTAGTACTCTATGTTATAAACCTAATTATAAACTTTCAAAACTATATCTTAATAAATAACATGGACATGCTGCTTCAAATGTTGGTATGTTCTGTCAAATTTAACATTGCTCTTATGGGGCTAAAATCCAATATGGCTACCACTGATGAAGGCTTTTAAGAATAAGATGTAAAATTTATTTAATTCAACTAACCAATTTTGAATGTTTAACTACTTTGATTTAATTGTTTGTTTTTCTTCATCGACATTTATATTTTAAAGAAAACATACGTATATAAATATGTCTAGCTATAACTAGATAGAGTAACTAAATAGGTCCAAACATTTTAGGTTGCTTTAGAAACAAGTTAAGATAAATAATAAAGATGTATTGTGTTATCCAGTTCATGAACTTGTTATAGTTAAGTTACTTTATGAGTCAGTTGTCTTTTGTTCTTGATCTTCTTAGTTAGTCACTAGAGTCTACGTATATATCTTTTTTTTACAGTCAAATTTTGTTCTTCGTCTTCTTATGTAGTCACTGATGCACATTTCGCAAAAAAGGCAACTTTATAAAAAAAATTAAACATAATATTAAATCAACCTGGTTTGAAATCTAAATCTTAACATTACAATTTTCCATAGTAAAATAATAAAAGTTTTTGTCGATGTACTATAGTTACTAACCAAGCATCGGTAATGCAACCTCTCTTGCTATTAGTGTAAGGCTATTGAAGTTTGAATTGTTTATCAATCAGTGATTAGTTATGCTTCATTTCTGCTAGTTAAATTTTGAAGATAATAGACTCTTGTAAAATACTGTTTGAAATAACATGTTATGGATGCGTTTAGTATTTTTATATTCTAACATTTGGACTGGTTGAAATTTTGTATGAAGAAACTGTTAATTGTTTCAATTATCTAGAATAAATTTTGTTTATAAGCTGTTTGATTTTTTTCAACAATTTTTGCAAGCTCCTATTAGTATTATTGGTTTGATATGTGTGAGGTGTTACACAAAGATCCATCTGACAATTAAATAATGTCATTCTGTTAGTTCCTAGGACTACCTTATACAGGGTGTTTCAAAATGATTATCCTAACGCTTTATAACTTTTTTTTACTTACCGCTATAAATATCACATCAAATTAAAAAGCAACTCAAAGAGTTTTATATAAGCCTACTAGTGTTCAATGTGAGCATCATTCTTCACACGGCACACGTTAAGACGATAGTTTACTATGTATATTGTCTACATTGAAACAGGGGTAATTGTATTGGTCACAATAATTAACTGAATACTTGTTAGCCTTAGCTGCATGCAGCAAACATAGGCTATATTGTTGCCATTGGAGGACCCCATGGTCCTTGTTTTATTTTTGGTAGAGGCCTCAAATCACCATCTAGCCGAGGGCCTCCAATGGAGCCAGACCGGGCCTTTCTTTTAAACTCATAAAAATCCTTTTTTCATCTCTAAATAGAAAATAAAAAAAATCTTCCAAGCTCAAGACTCAGGACTCTCCTTTGTGTGAGGTAATTTTGCATTGTTAGTTTAATTTTAAAAGCTTTTACAGTTAATGGTTATCCTACTAATATTATAAATGAGAAAGTTTGGATGTATGGATGTATGTATGTTTGTGACAAGTAAACGCGAAAAATACTGGTCGGATTGGGCTGAAATTTGGTATGATGATAGCTCACATTCCCGATTAACATATAGACGCATTCTTATCTCCAAAGTCCTATCGGGCTCCGCCCCAGTGGCTCTGGAGTTTCCCATGTTAACCTTATGAGTAATCTTATTTAAAAGGAATAAAATAATTTTGTCAGCTGTTTCAACTACACGAGTTTGTTCTATGATATTGAATAGCATTAAAAAGTTACAAAGTTTACCAACAGAGTGCAGTACTATTATTTTTTTACATTTATGACAACATCTATCCTATAAAGGTTATAAAGGTTAAATTACGTTTTTAAAAGGCTTATGTTTAACTATTTTATCAACAGATGTAAAGATCAAAATGTTTCTATTTCGTGTTCTCTACCCGTTGCAAAGCACAGGTACAACAGTTAGTACTATTTATAAAATTAAATAATATTGTAAAATGTTAATAATTTTAAGTTTTGTAAAGAGTTGAGATGATGTAGGCTAATATGTAAATGTATTTGGGAAAGGAAAATGAATGATACTTTGATTTGATTGATTTGATTTGCAGTTCTAGTAATTATTTAGATACAAAGAAAATTTGTATTTGGCAAAGACAGTGAATGCAAATTGTTTTGTAGAAAATAAAATGCTTCCTATGGAAGATCATTTATGGAAAATTTCCAATAAGCTGACTTAAGTAAGGGTGTCACAACTTTGCTTTAATGCAATCTCAGTTGAAAAAAATTAGAATTGTCTGAGATGGAATTTATCATTTCTAAATACACAAAATAGAATATTTTTGAAATACAATCTGTACTGGTTAACATAATGGGGTTATATGGTACCACGGTTTAAGTTCATAAAACAAACAGTGTTTTCATAAGTTTTATAATCCCCATCTACTTTCTTGGTTTGAGTTATATTTCATAGTTACAATTCTACAGGGTGTTTATAAAAAACCTGATCGATTTTAACTTTGTCTCACTCATTCCGTGTTAGAGGTAGAAACCTCTAGTTTTCATTATTTGTTAGGGAAACTCAAAAAGTTTTATAATCAGCTGTTTTTATTAGCAGTTCCTTCTTACATTGTTGTGTGATAAACAAAATCAAATAAGTAACATTTTACGATGGATCCTCGAGTGAAGACGCAGTGTGTCGAGTGGTTAATAGAAACTAAGTCTCCTCTTGCTGTTCAGCGTAGATTTTGAAGGAGATTTAACGGAAATCCTCCTTCAAAGAACACGATAAAAGCAGGGTATGAGAAGTTCATGACCCATGGGAGCATACATCACAGAAAAGGCAATGGTCGTCCAAGGGTAAGTGAAGAAAATGTTCAAAGAATTCATCAATCATTTCTTAATAATCCGAGACACTCGACAAGATCTGCAGCTCGAGAGTCGAATATTAAGCATTCCACTCTAAACAAAGTGTTAAAAAGAGTTTTGCATTTTCGGTCTTATAAGTTACAGATAGTTCAAAAGATTACGCGACAAGACTGAGCCAGACGCAGAGAATTTGCAGTTACAATGCTCGACCGTTTAGAAACTGACAATAACTTCTTAAACCGGATATTTTTTTCTGATTAAGCTACGTTTCATGTATCAGGGAAGGTGAACAGACACAATGTCAGGATATGGGGATCTGAGAATCCTCATTTTCACCAGGAGCATACTAGGGATAGTGAGAAGGTGAATGTTTGATGCGCCTTATCTTGCAACAGATTGATCGGCCCTTTCTTTTTTGCCGAAAGAAATGTCAATGGGACCATTTTCGTGGATATGCTGGAAAACTTTGCCATTCCACAGTTTGAAAATGAGCAACCAAACATGATGTTACAACTAGATGGCGCTCCACCTCATTGGAGACGGTTTGTTCGTGACTGTCTCAACGAACATTTCCCAAATCGTTGGATTGGCCGTGACGGACCCATACCTTGGCCACCAAGGTCGCCAGACATTAAGATTTTTTTGTTTGGGGGTTTGTAAAAGATCGTGTTTACTCCAACAAAGTCAACAGCCAGGAAGAAATGAAGCAAAAGATCAGAGAAGCATTTGATGAAATTGATGTTCCGATGTTGCGGCGAGTTTGGGCAGATCTCGAACACAGACTTGATTATTTAAGAGCTAATAATTGAAAACATGTAGAAATAAGATAGTGTGAATGTGTCATCGTAAACTTAAGAAAATTGTCTTTAATTTAACATTAATTTTAAAAAATTGTGATGAAAAATAAAAGAGCTATGACAGTTTAAAATCAATCAGTTTTTTTATAAACACCCTGTATTTCCAATATCTTTACACATTTCAAACAAATAAATGAATAAATACCTTGCAAAATCTTGATTTGTTTTACATGTTTCCAGATGGAGATGACTTTTACTATTTATACCAAAGTCTGCTGAAAGATTTGCCTCATGTACGGAAGCAACGTAGAAAAGAGATTGACCAAGGAACTTTGAATGTATTTAAATTCAAAGTATCCTATTTGACCTTCCTAGTGGATCTGTGGGAGAAAGTACACAAGAAACTCAATGAGGAAACCCTCACAAAGTTGACAGTAAAAGTCAATACTTTGACAAAAGCGTTGAACAAGCGAAACAAAAAAATATCATCACAGGAAGTTGATTACTTTAATCTAGAGCAATGCCGAATCACTAAGTTTATGGACTTCTTTATCCTCAAATCAAGTGGAGAATATCAGAATTCTAAGGATAGTCCAGATGTTACTAAATGCTACAAAATTGCAGAAAGTCTTCTGAATGAACTTTCTCCATTTTCAAAAGAACAAGAGGAAAAAGTTGTTAAAGCAATTCAAGACTTTAAAGAATCCATGAAAAGCAAAATTGTTCCATTGACAATTGAGGAGAAGAGAATGCTGAATGCAGCAATGTCCAAAGACTTTTATGGAGGTTCGCATGCTCAGGGTCATTGGTTCAAATGTCGCAATGGTCACCCGTACTGTATAACCCAATGTGGAGGTGCAATGCAGAAAGCTAGGTGTCCAGAGAAGGGTTGCGATGCCTGGATTGGTGGAGAGCGTCATCGGTACTTGCCTGACCAGCAACTTGCCAGTGACTTTGACGGAGCCACACGCCCAGCCTGGAGCACAGGTAACGACCTGGCCAACTTTAACCTCGACAATCTACACTAAACAATCATTCTTACATAAGTGATATTGATCTCTCCATGGATGTTGCCTTAAGGCTTTTAAAAAGTTTCAAGTTTTAGCATATTTTTTTATTGTAGGCATATTTTTAATATCGGTCGGCAGTAATATCAATACTATTTTTTAACACAAAATTAGTAATACAACATTGGATTTGTTTACTTTAGCATACATATTTTACCCAAAGTAATCTTAAATTTTTATTTTAATAGTATTTTTTGTTTATTGCTATATGGCATGTATCACATAACTGATAAGATCCCATGTTTTATGTTCCCATGCAAGTATCATCTAAGAGAAAAATTTAAAATTTGTCTGATAACATTGATGGAACTAAAGTACCACAAGTTGTCCTTAAATACTCCATTCATCCTGGTTAAACATTAAACTAACCTTTTTTAGCATGTTGAATTCTGTATTACTTTGTACTGTTTTAATTTCATATAACGAATTGTTAAATGTATGACTTGTTATACTTTTTTCAAAGAATAAAATGTTAAACATAAGGGATATATTTTTTTTTCCAAAATATTTTATCCCATATTTAGTTAATTTACCTTTTTTCAGAAACTAAGCCTGATTCTATATTTTAACCAACCTATGTCTATATTTTAAGAAAGCTGTGGAGTATTTTTATGATATTAAAAAAATGTGCAGACATTTACCACAACCATTTGGTGGTATATTTCATCATTACAATTTAAATTGACTATTTTTACTTGAGCTCAAGTTCATAAACGAGGCATACTGGGGGTTGAAATTGGGACCTTGACTCAGCCCTTATCAACATTATTTTCTATTATACAGGCTTTCATCATTTGAGTTTCATTGCTTATGCATTGGTTATTGTCTTGTGTTAGCATTACAAATTTGTCAAGTTTAATTACTACCCGGAGTCGTAGGAGACGCCTCTTTTAAGGCTTTTAGGAAACTTATCATGGAACTGCAATTGCTGAGAACAATCGTCACTAATAACTTCAAACAATCAAAACATAAATAAACCCCTTCTTAAATTGGTACTTTTTTTAGTATTGTATTGTTTATTTGAAAAAATCATCATTTAGTTGACTCAGCAGGATAGCGCCAGCGCTTTTTTAGATGTCACTGTTTTATTATTTAAAGCTTCATTTGAGTATCATTAATGGATGGTCCAGTCTTAAAACCTCCCCAAAAAACACAGGATACAGATTATTTGCAGCTACTGGATGACAGTGTGTTGTAGCTTAAGTTTAATAAACAAGTTTTTCCCTTTTACACAAAAAGGCTCTTGTACCAAAAAGCAGGGTGTCCACATTCTGGAAAGTCAGGGAAAGTCATGGAAAAAAATGCTGGTCATTGAAAGTCATGGAAATAGGCAAAAGTTCATGGAAATTCCCAATGATGGATGGATTTGTGTGGACCATTTATTGCTCTAGTCGGCCGTAACCGCTAGAACGTAGCATTTTTCAGGATTTTTCACAAATGTTTGAAGATTCAATTTATTAAAGTTGTATTAGTTTATGAGTTTTGAGTTTGTATTAGTTCATTGTTGTACAATAGAACCCTGGTTAACCGAAATAAAGGGGGGGGGGGGTGAGTTGTTTCGGATTACCAATTTTTCAGTTAACCCATACTTATGCTAAAAATAGTTTTTTATTACCATGGTGTGTAGGAAAAATGAATTCAAAACAATGTACAATGCAGTGTTTTACTTCAGCGACAAAAATGTTACAATGTGTTAGAAAAGCCCCTTTTTAGAGAGAGGGGCTCGGCTACGCCTCGATGTTGACATATTACATATTGTACTTATTAGCCCTGATTAATTTATGGAACCGTTTCGGTAAATCCCATTTCGGTTAACCAGGGTTCTACTGTACCTAATGTACTCTATTGTTATCTGTTAATACATATTTCAGTATTTTCTGTGGAATAACTTGTCCATACAATATTATTCGCGTGTGTATGTTATAATTTTTTAGTAAAGTTTGTGAGTCATGGAAATCAATGGTAAATGGTCATGGAAATTAATGACAAATTTTCTGTGAACACCATGAAAAAGGCTTTTTACTCCCTAGGGGGTAAAAGAACCAAATCCAAAGTGCAACCCATGTATTAAAATCGTCTGTTTTTACTTCACTATGACAAAAAATATAGTAGGCCTACATATGTTTATAGATATAGTGTAAATTAGATGACAAGTCTCTCATCGGTATTATCAAATAAGACAAGGTTGACCTCTTAATAGAGGTTTGTAATAACATATGATTAGGAGGATGTAATATAAAATCAAGGTTATTTGAAAATAACTGATTTTGTTACTGCTGAAAGTAGGATACATAAAACAATATTGTTTGTTTTATGCTGGCACAAGCGACATAAACTTATACACAGTCATGGACCACAGTAAATTTTCAATTTAATAATACAGTAAGTGATTAACACATTCGCTGCTGAAACCTTTAAACAGGCGCTCGCCAATGGCGGCGAGGCCCGGGCGGAGCCCCGACGCGCTAACTGAATCAGCGATCGCTATTGGTATTGAAATATCTCAGTAAGACGAATCACAAAAGAGCAGTGGTGATTGTTCTGCGTTACTCCGAAAGTGGACGTAGTTCACTGAAACACCCAAAGGTAGCAGCACTGCCTGGATCAATAACCAGAGTCTTTGTAATACGGCTCGAACTGAGAAAATCCCCGAAAACGGGACAAAAGCATTGCCAGACGGGATTTTACGGGCAATTTTTGTACCAACCTACACCAGAATAAAGCTCGCATTATAAGCTACAGGCTGGTAAAGATTACAACGTTCCCCGACAATGGCTGAGCTCACATTGAAACAATAAACATGACATGGCGCGCTCCCCCACCCGTGGACCCCCCGCTCCTCAGCTGAGACGCGCGGGGTCCACCGGTGGACCCGCCGCATCGAATGTGTTAAGGTAATTAATTATGGTGAAAACAAGAATAATTGCAAAACATACTCAGCATTTAATATTCTATTGGTAACCAGAAAACAATGGGTAAAATTCTATATAACAATTAGTAGGTAATAATAAAATTATCTTGTTATACATTACTAATTAATTATGTAAAAAATTGGCTTAAATACTTTTCAAACTAGACACCTGAGTATTTTTTTTTTTTTTGGATAGGTCAATTTTTCTTTATTTGTGAATCACGAAATAGAACTTGGAGTTTTATTAATAAGTTGATATTGATATACTTTTTAATTAATATCTTATATTATTACAGTGTGAAAAGGGATTTGCTTGTAATATTATTTTGATGTTAAGGTATCATTACAATAATAATAACTTTGGCATATTTTTCTTATATACAAAACATTAAATTGTTAAAATCATCTGTTAAAGTGTGCAAATTGCAGTTTTCATGTGCAAGATTCAATTGCAGTTTTCATTTGCAACAAGTTCAGTCTATGTTCTCTATCACGTCTTGATGTTCTTCTTGTGAGCCTGAAAACATGAAAATATTATCAATCTATTAACTATAGTTTTTTTTATTTTTTTATTTTAATATGGTAGATTGTAACATCAATCAACTAATATCAACAATATTAAATAATACAATTCATATACATATGATTTTAGGTAATCAAAGGCTCAAAGGTTATTTCACTATGTTAATGTGTTTCAATGTTTGGACCATTCCTACTTTGATGGTTCAACCCACTTTCCTACTATACTACGCATATTTCGATTTACAACACAGACACACTATCAATATACAGTATTACAAAAGAGCATCGATGTTAACATTGGTACGGTTGACCTTTGATGTAGGCCTACCGATAACATTGTCGCAAAAACATCAATAATCTATGGTTTCTTTTTATATTGAGTTTTACATAGTAAAAAAATTGTTTTTTTTTTTTAGTTTCTATTTGTAGCCAAGTTTATGCTGCCTTTATTGAGTATTTCCAAGAATACTCAATAAATATAGAATAATCTTATTTTTTATTCTCTTTCCGAATATCACCTTCCACTATGGTCGATTTCCTCACCATTTAAAAGTTATTTGCAAAAAAGTTAAGCAAGCTCCAAATTTAGAGTGGTGAGAAAATACAGAGTTGGAGATATTTTTGTTAAACTTTGTACGAACCGGTCTCGAGGAGTCTGGATAAGAGGGCGTCGAGTAATTCTCGTTAATCCCCAATTCCAGACCGTAACACTCGTCCCAGACCATAACGTTCATGATTTGGATAATAATGATTCAAAAATGGATATAGGGAATAATCAGACAAAATGTGGATAACATTTTATGTCAAAATATCCAGTCAAAATTCAAATCAAAACAACACAGAAAAATCACAAACTATCACCATATTCCAATGTTTTATACACACAAGAAGGACACCTCTATAAAAACATAAAAGATTTTCATATTGAGAACGTTTGTTTGGAGTTATACCAAATTAAAGAGATTGTTTGCTTTTTTGTAAAATGTCCAAATTTACCAAAGGCTTAATAAGCTGTTTATTGCAAAATGGTCCTAAAATTTTATGTATTTACAGCAAAACATATATATTAAAATAACATTAACTATTGTAATATTCGTTTACGTCCGTTATGGTCACAAAAGAATTTCATACTTTTCCATTAAAGATGCTTTATTAATAAAAAACCACCTAAGATATTGCATTACCATGGACATTTTATAAAACTTCAAATGTCAGTTGAAATGAAAAAAAAAATGAAAAACGTTTTGAAAAAAAGAAAAAAAATTTAAGTGGTTTTCTTGAAACGTACATTTTTAAATTTTTACTCAAGTGTGTGTAACGGGTTTTTCACAATAGATTTAAAAACCTGCATTATTCTCTCAAGTGTCCTTGCCCCGTTGCAAAGCACGGGCAGAACAACTAGTTTATATTAGCTTTCATATTTTTTTGGACTCCTTTGTGTTGCTTATTTTTGAAAACCAATATTATGATAAACTATTTGTCTAATATGATTTTCCATACAATTAATAACTAATTAACTAAACAACGTTTAACTAAAGTCCAGTACTGACACTTTGAGATTGTTGCCTCAATTTTTTGAGGTATTTTGCAATATTTGCATAAATAAGTCATATATTATTCCCAATTTAAATAACGATACATTTAACGAGTACTTAGGTTTGCTGCTACGGGGAAGGTAAAAAGTATTTTTTACCAAATGTTAATAGCATAGGATGAAATAAATAAATTTGCCAAATTTGATCAACATATAAACAAAGTGTGTATTTGATAAACAAGTAAGCTACAAGAGTTTTCATTTTCTCCATAAGAATAATAAGGAAATTTTATATTTACACTTTTTAAATTTTTTTTGTAACCGTATGGCATACAACAGCGCTTCACTAAACTAAATTATTTATTATTTAAGCTCTATGAAATGGTTTAGAAAAAATGTTTTTGGGGTAAAAAATGGCAAAACCCCATTTTTATCCCATAAATCCCTCCATAGTCCAATCATGTAGGTTTTTACCAAATTTCATCAAATCGGATAATTTTTGCTCGAGTTATCGTGCTAACGGACACAGATATATAAATATATATCTATATATAAATTTGAGCGGATGGTGTTTTTGGCCTCTGTGGACATCAATATGAAGAAGTAAATCGGGTCCAGGTCTTACCATGATACCTACGGTAATTCGCTGACAAGACAAACTTACAAACATTAATAATTGTGTTCATATCATGCACTAACCTCTATGTCTCCACAGACATACTTCATTTTCTTCTCCTCCACTTCCAAGTCTGCAGTTATTAAGTCTGGAGATTTGTTATCAATCATAAGCTCACTTTCTTTAATTTCATCCAGGATCCTATCTAAGGTCGCAATGAAATAATCAGCATTGGCCATGGTGAACACCATTGGAGGCTTCAGCTTCAACACGTTACGGTCTGGTCCATCAGAACTCAGTAAAATTCTCTCCTCTTTCATCCTGAAGGTATACATTCCATCATTAATGACACCAAAAGATCAAATGATAATATAACTTAGTAATTTTGGCGAAACTCAATTCTTATCCTCCCATTGTTTTGGCTCGCCCCTGAACTGTTCCAAACAACCAACTTCTGTTCAAATGTGATATTCTTGACAATGGTTTATCTACTTGATCAGAAGCAACCAGTGTAAAAAACTTGGTTGAAGCAACAACAATTAATTTTGGATTAGGGCAAAAATAAAGTCTTAAAAATAAGTCTTGTGTAACAAAAAAAAAAAAAAAAAAAAAAAAAACAAGTCTTAAATAAAATCTTTAAAACTAACTGAACAACATATCAAAAAACCTCAAATTTACTCTTGAAATTGAAGAGAACAATAGTATTAATATTTTAGATACAACTATTTCCAAAAACTCTACTACAATATTTAGAGAAAGCCTACAGCAACCGACCATACTATCCACTATACTTCATACCACCCTGAAACCCACAAAATGGCCACTTAACAGTATGGTTTATTGTCGTAGAGTTGACGTAGTTCGCTAAACATCCACAGATAGCAGCACTGCTTGGAGCGTAGCCGATCCCATTGGAATTGTATTGCCAAATGGAGGGAAAAAGACGGGACAAAAAGTTGATTTTTAATATTGCCAGACGGGGATTTTACAGGGAAATTTACTACCCACCTACACCACAACAAAATGCGAGTCACACTACACGCTAACATGGTATAGGTCCGCTTTCGGCCGACGCTAGAGCAAAAACTAAGATATACAAAAGGCATTGCCGAGCGTTTCCGATGGGGTACAGACGCACCTGATCAGGAACGGCCGCACTCTACGTGTTAATGTAACAGGTATTGTTTACAGCTTTATAGATATATAAATGTATTAATATATATGTATGATAATACATATATATTTGTGATGCTATATCTGTTAGTATAACTATCAAAACCTTTAACAATTGACTTGTTTTCTTTGATGGACTAATGTATTTGTTACTACTGAATTTATTCGGTATCTCTCACTACCCTGTTTCTAAACCTTTTGAATCCTGGCTTTTGGAGGGTCAAGGTCAAGCCCTAAAGTTGGGTTTTCCAAGGAAAGCTGAGTCCGCTCTGCTCGTGTCTTAAGTAATTTCGTGTTACTGTTTTCCTAGAAGCGGAGGGGACCCCGATTGAAATTGTTCTCTTCACTCTGCTCTCCCCCATCCGCATTGCGCATCTGCGTCTTGGAAACCCTGGCTTAATCCAGGATTTTGAGTGAGTTTGCAGACCATTAAAAAATAGCTAATCTGGAAGTAAGGGGTACCTTACTAACATGTATATATACTCTTTATGTTCAGAAAGAATAGGAAAAATTAACAATGGTATCAAGCATGTTAAATTGTTATAAGATCAATTTATTTTATAAATAGATAATAATCCTAAATAGTCAATTTTATTCACATAAATTTCAAAATCAAAGTCTCGACAATGTTTAAACACTTTTTTAGAACGAAATGGGTTTCAGATCATTAAACTTTAAATTTAATAATATCTAGCAGTTACCCAGCGCACGTTGCTGTGTTTAACAAATATTATTTTAAATGGCAATTTGTTCTTTACAATAAATAGTGAAAATATATACAAAATAAACGGTATCAGCATTCTGACACATACTTTCTCCCATAAGTTTGTCAATAACCTTTATCATGTGTAAGCGGTGAGAGTAAATATACGGAAATGGGATTTGTACAATTTTCTTCAGAATTTAAAGGACTATAACATACTAAATTGTTATCAAAGTCGTTCGGGCCAATTTTGGGGAAATCTGATTTTCCGTTATTTTATGGGGTTTTTATGGGAAAATAACATAATTTACAATAACTATTGAATCGTAATTTTTACAGAAATGGGATTTGTACCATTTTGTTCAGAATATAAAGGACTATAACATACCAAATTTTTATCAAAATCGTTTAGGCCAATTTTGGGAAAATCCTATTTTTCCGTTATTTTATGGGGTTTTATGGGAAAATCCCCATTAAAAATAAAAATTTCTAAAAAGTGAAAAAAACTATCAAAATTGTAAGGACCATAACATACTATGTTAAATCAAAACCGGATCTTTGTCTAAAACCCTATTTTTCGTTATTTTATGGGGTTTTTATGGGAAAATAACATAATTTACCATAACTTTTGAACCGTAATTTTTACAGAAATGGGATTTGTACCATTTTGTTCAGAATTTAAAGGGCTACAACATACTAAATTTTAATCAAAATCGTTCGGGCCATATTTGAGAAAATCCGATTTTTCCGGTTTTTTTATGGGTTTTTATGGGAAAATCCCCATTAAAAATCAAAATTTCAAAAAAATGAAAAAAACGCCTAGAGATACCATGGATTAGAACCTACATACCAAATTTCATCGAAATCGGACCACAGGTGTAGTCTCTAGCTCTGTACACATCCAGACACACAGACACACACACACACACACACACATACGGGGTTTTACCGAATACTCGCAAACACCTAATTGTGGCATCTTTCAACCTGCGGCCACCAGTGGATGAAGGAAGGTGGTAGAAACATGTCTGCATCGATATTTTTAATGAACACTCCATTTTAACATCTAACATTCCAGTTTTTAAATTGTGGCACCATGCCACAAATCGGTATATATCAACAGTGTGTGGACAGGATGCCACTATTGCGTTGTAGTGCTTGAGCGGTGTGTGCGCCCCCCCTACTTCTCGCGTGCGCTGTTGCCAGTTCTCCGTTCTAGTTCCTTCATTCCGTTCTGTATTCATGTGGCTATGCCCTAGCCGCTGTAGCTCATTTTCCGCGCTCATGACGTCGTCTTTTATTAGTGTAAGGATTTTATATGAAGTTTTTTTCAAAGCTCCAATAATTTTTACAATTATTGGATTTAAAGTCAATGGACCAAATGAAATTTCGTGAGGATTACATAAAACTACATGCTATTTTGTTGATATTTTATCGTCACATTGTATGTATGGTTTACGAACTGAGATACTTGGAATAAAGGCCCAATGTGCCGGGTAAATTATCAGGTTCATGGGAATATACAAGAAATCTATTCTATCTATATATTAATTACGTAAGCCGATTCTTTGCGTCAAAATTGTGGGCGACTGGGACGTAGAACGACGTGAGAGGGCTCAAATTAAAGGTCTTTATCCCGTGACGGCGGGAAAAATAGTGAAATTCCCTAAATCTTAACACAAAATTAGATATAACGTACAATGTTCTCCATAAGAATAGCATTAGAAGGCATTTACTGCTGATTTTTGTTTACTTCAATCTAGCTAATCGTGATTTTATCATTAGCAAGTAAGCTTACATTTGGATTACTCATTTGCCAGTCAATTCTGCAATGTAATGTATACTATATAAAACCAACTATATAAAGGGATAACGTTACCTTTAATAATTAAGACTTTTTAGTTATGTCAAAGTTGAAATAAATTGTTTTCAAGATTTAAGAACCGATTCAAGATTAAAAGAAGATCTCCTTTGTTTTTTTTTCAAAACATATGTAAAAGCTTTATTCCAATTTTTTTTTTTAAATTTACTAACATTTATATTTGAGATTTATTGTAGTGTTTAATCAATATTTTGTATGAAGTGGAATAACCTCAACGGTTACTCTTAGAAAACAATTTGGGAATAGAGATGAAGTAGGTTCGTACAGGTATTTAAACGAACCAAAAATATTTATGTCGTGATTAGTTTCGATAACTGGGTAATGGAACCCTAACTAGCCGCAAAATAGTTAGTAATTAGACGTTGACTAGACCCTTTTTTGGTAGAATATGTAAATCAATCGCACCTTTAGGAGGTTTAACACCACATACTTACACTAGGCTAATAGTGGTTTTTTAATGTTGATCACAAACAAATTTAGGTCCAAGTTCAGTCAATGGGATGCCTTTACTTAAGAATAATTTTGTTAAACCTTTACAAAATGAGCATAGACTTAGAAATAATAACTGGGTAGGGTATCTCAACACACCATTTTTTGCCTTTTCTTATTTGACGAAGTCAATTTCCGATACTGTATTTCAATCGGGGAAGCCTTGTTATCAGCATTAACCAAAAAACCAAAGCTACCTTAATAAACCAATATTTATTCATAAACATGTTTGCTGCCTTTAGCAGTTAAAGCTCTGGAATCATTCAAATTCTTTATTGAACATAACGTTATCAACAATAGCAAACAAAGACAAACAACAAACTGTTTTGTTTTTTTTGCACAAACGATATGTTGTAGTGGGATATCTAGGCCTATCCTGACATATAGATAATTTGATTCTGAGTTTGTTTAAATATTCCAACAATAATTCCTTTTCCGTAGCTTTTTAGGGACTATGTCCATACAAGCCACTAGTTTACATTAAAATACGCAATTAGTATGACTCCGTTTTTTCTGTATGCATAAAATTAATTCATGGTAATGTAAAAGTATGCGTAACGAATTTTTCACCTCACTATGATGTTTTTAGCTGTTTTAGATACATTTAGCTGGTTTATATTGGTGGCTGAAAGTTACGTTTTGCTGGCCATGCCAGCTGTCATCGTCATATGGGGACCGAGCAGGGGTTTACATCCCTAGGGCCGCAAAATCACTTGTTCGCCTATTTACTTAAAACATTAATGTATATTAAATGCACAAGCTGTATCCATGGCATTGCAATAGACTTGTTTTTTGTCACAGCTGCCTAGACAACTATTTATTGTTATTTTTGATTTTGCTGATTCCTCAAAATATTTCACATAAATAAGAGGGACGTTATATTGCAAAACATACTTGGGTGAAAAATAGCGCTCGTACCACGAGCCAAAATGGGTTTGCAGCTCTCGATCGTTTCACGTTCTCGACTTCGTCCCGAACTTAAAACCCGATATCGAGTCGGCAAAACCTCACTGTAGGCCCTAGGTACGAGATATACTATTTTTTTACGGTGGATTTAGAGACCCAAAGATTCTC